TTGGACTGCCTGTGTGTTGTCACCCAGCAAGGCGATTTTATCGGCATATTCTAAGTCAAGGACTCTGTTCCCTGGGAGGAGTTCGACTCCACCGTTTGCTAGACCGGACAAAGCATTCTGGAGAACATCCTTTATGACAAAGTTGAAAACGAATGGGGATAAACGGCAGTCATTGTCGAACTCAACTGGAGACGGCGAAGGGTGGCGAAAGTTGACCATAGACCCTAACCCGACCTGAGGTATGACGATACAACTCTTTGAGGATCGACACGTACTTCTCAGATACTCCATTCCTTAACAAACAGNCCCAGCCTGCTCCTCGCGCGTAGTGTACAATCGGCGGCGAATGACGGACGCCAACAGCTTTGACGCTATTGGGATAAGGCTTATACCCCTATGATTGGCGCAGTCATTGCGCGGGCCTTTTTTGAAGATGGGGACAACAATCGATTCCCCCCGCGAGGAGGGGACCTGCTCAGTGCTCCACACTTGAGAGAACATAACCTGTAGTTCTTTAACAAGCTTTATTCAACCATCTTTAAATATAGCAGGGGGAAGGCTATTGGAGTCCGAATCAAAGTTTTATTATGAAAATTAAAAATTTGATTCTGACTTTGGCTTTGCGCCTGACCGCATCAAGACCACAGGAAAAGTACATTCGCAGTTCCACGTAAGCAATATTTGCAAATCGGCCTTCGAATAATAGATCTTTGTCTGCCTCTGATTCATCGCACACCTACGAACTCAACCGACCTTGGAAGCTGATCAGAGAGGCAATTCAAACGTGTCAAACCAACTAAGCGTTGGAGAACACGAAGAAAGGATAAACGATGGATTCGATGGGCCTCTGTTGTGTTGCTGGACGCGAGCAGAACCGTCCTTCCGGAAGGTAAATATGACGTTATGCTCAAATTCCTCAAAATCAAGCTCACCAAAAGCTGCAATACGTGGCGCGGGGAAATGTAAAGAGGTGAATAACACTGTAGTTATTAATAACAGTCGAAAACTAGGTGGAAAAGAAGCGACTAAGGTGTCAAACTGTACACTGATTCAAGCTCCGAATTGCCGTTTAAAAGGATGAGCGGAAAACTACAAGAGACAATTTAAAGACCCCCCATTGACACTCAACCAAATTGTTACCAGTTAATAATAACTCACCTTCAGAGATAGAGGTTACTCAAAAAAGGTTACTGTTTAAGGTACGTGCTTCCTGGACCAGATGGTTTTTTTCATACACTTGAAGATGGTAGTGATGGTGCATTACTTTTCAAAGCCTTATTAAAGTCATAAATAAGCTTACCTGCCACTGTATGCTTTCCGATCACTCCTTGGTTCTACATGAGCTTGGACGTACACATGATAAGGGATCGTCTTCAGCTAGACCAAGAAGAAACAGGTGAGCAAAAGCATTGAGTATAGTTTTTAAAAAGGTAGTTTATATGCCTAGGAAAAATAACAAACAATACAGTTTATCGAGCGACGATTATAATCTGTGGATGACTAGTCACACCATTTAAAGCAAACCTTTCAAACTGCTCAGATGTCATTATACAGTAACCTCAGTTAAACACAAATAAATAAACTAAACATGAAACTTCAATTCGTTAACTAAAATGAAACAAAAAGATGTTCCCTGTTTTTTTCGACTCACAGAGACGTCTATTAATTACACAATAGCTATGTGCCGCACTGTACATCGTGACTGATATGCACTAAGAAGAACAGTAGATAGAGTAAACTGCAAACGCAAGGACCTAGTACAGGTATATAATAACCGGCAACCTAATTCCGGGGACTTGGAAAAGAAAACAACCGAAAGCCTCAAAAAGAAAGACGTCAGGTGGAGCTGTGCTGTCTACAATAAAGACGGCAATGATATATATAGAAACAGTATTTACGTGCTGTCAGAAAATATTGCTCTATAAGCAATATATATATCGCCTATACAGCAACACTTCCTGACAGCACGTAAATACTATTTCACAGGATTCTGGGTGGTCATGTTCTCTCCCTATATATATAATACCTGGAACAAGGAAAGATCTGAATGATACGTGATATAAACTCACAACAGAGTCGAATTCCGCCAACTGTTCTTTCAGGATAAAGCACAAATCCAACGAGGCGAGTCCAACGAGCAGGCCAACGAACACAATGCCTTCATCATTAAGAAGCAGAGCACCAGAGTGATAGAACGAATGGCGCGTGAGGCGAGATACTTCCGAAGTGGTACAGCTCTCTTCGGATGTGCTAGATGTAAAATTTAAGTCCGAGTCCAACATATGCTGAAAATATGTTCCCAGCTCCTAAAACAAAGATCAGACGTCGAATAGTCACAAAAGTAAAACTGATATTATTTTAGAGTGCTGGCTTTGGAGCTAGTTCACTGGGATTGCAGGGGCACTTGGGATTGTTTTATGGTTGCGTGTGTGGGTTTCACTCTTCGGTAGTTCGCTATTTATCCACATGTTGTGAACATTTCATTATCGGTTGAATTCTTTGTGAAAACTGGAAAAGCACTAGAAAGCTATCTTGTCCCTATTAGGAGTTACCAGTGGTGGCCGGGTGGTAGCATCACCAAATTATCACCCAGGGGATGTGTTCAAATCCCCCTTATTGAAAATTGTATCTTGGTATATTCAACAGAAGGAAGTGAAGTGAAAAAGAACGAAAAGATCAGTAGCGCACATTTTTCCTTTACCGGGACTCAAAATGCGAACATTCGGCTGGGGGGTATAAATACTTACTCCTGAGTTACATGACCAACATCCTGAAGAAAGGGTTGTATATATTGCATAACAGAATTTCTTAAATACTGTATGCAAGTTCACAAACAACGGGGTTCGTGACATACTTTTCAACTAGCAGGTCCTCGTGACTATGGGGTTAGCTTCGTCTGCTGTTCATCACATTTAGGTGTGTAATAAAAAAATACTGTTTATTCTTTACATTAGTACTTCATTTTACAGTTGCCTCGGTCAAAGGTGAGTCGAACAAACCACGGTACAACAATCTATATAACAAATAAGCCAGTGTAATATTCATTTGAGAGCTAACCAATGTTGGGTTGCCCTAAACAAAAACAGACGATTTTGAGGGGTACTCACAATTGGAGCATTCAATGAACCAGTTCTGAGTTTAGCTTCACCGATCTATCGGAGATGGGGTAGAGCGAATAATTTGTTCGCGGGACGGTTGTTAGCACGCAACACACGATGACAAACCTCATCATTGCTTACTGGATATTCCCATTAGACACGATTCATGGTTCGAAGACAACAGTGGTCGAATCCAGAAGGCCCAGTGGCATCCTCAGCTAGGAAAGACTGGCTCTCGCAACGTAACGGAGAAAGCTACGAAGTGAGCCGATGAACACTCCTTTCATACATCCAGATTGCTGTAATTAACGTAATTACAGTGATCTTCTTTCAATTCAGTTGACTCTATTCGAAAATGGATACCCTTTGAAGTTCATCAAAAGGTACGCGGAAACAACAGTTAAGCAGAAAATGTCCAATGCCCCTAAAAGGAACGTTTACTGGACCATCCCTTTCAAAGAAGAAAATGACAGGCCTCCCGCGATGTATAAAACATATAACCCACNACCCACAAAACATTTATTGTAGCCTCACTAAGGATTCTGCACAAAACTAAGCGTCTTCTTGTGGAATCAAATTTGGGCAAGCCTGATCCTCCTCTTGTATTTATCTATTCGGGTGTACTGGCGGTAGCAAGTATGTTGGACGAACTGAGAGAAGGCTGTCCGTAAGGATTTCCGAACACATTCCCAAAAATCTAGCGCTAAAAGAAGACAAAATTCTTAAAAGCTTTATCGCTCGCCACATATTAGACTGCAACTTGTGTGTGAAGCCAAGCAAGTCTTTCAGGATCATAAGTGGACAACACCATCGTCTACTTCAGTTTGCTGAAGACTCTGCCATTGGACGGCTTAACAATTAGACTTTAGTCAGTCTTGCCCCGCCCTGATAGGACTGAACCCCATCATTTGTTCACTCGCCGTGGTTGACTGTGACTTTTGTCCCTGTCCTGTGATTGGCCCAATTGGGGTATTTATTTGTCCAATAACCTATCATTTGTTTAAACAGTCCCACGGAGCTCATAATGAGAACAAAAATTGGCAAACGAGCTCGTTTTCAGTGTGTCTTATTCATGCCATTACAACACAATAAATATGACCAGTAACAGAGAAGGATTTACAACGAAAAAGAGGTAAAGTAATTAAAGTATTCAACAGTTTGTTTCATAACTGGTCCCCAATTATCACTGAAAACGAGCTTGTTTGCTAATTAGTGTTCTCAACCTATCATTTGTTCGTCGTTGTTTAACCTCGATTGTCATCGTACGTATGCACCTGATTGATACTACCCGAAATAACTGAATTCGTTATCCTACTGAAACCTGGTTTTTCCTCGCCGTGATGAACACTCTTCTCAAGGGTAACCCTGGATGTCGTTGCGGTGCCACAGGTGTCACAGATTGGCAAAGGCTGATCTAACGTTTGCAATACATGTTGTGTTCTCTTTCACAACACCATTTCCAGCTATGATCAAGCTCCCAAGGTAATCAAAACTGGCATTCGGATGATGCAAAGAATATGCTAAATCTGGATATCTCTATCACCAAGCGGTTTATAGAATGTTGGACCGCCAGTGCACTCTCACACAATGAAGCTCTCATCGATATATTCTAAGTCAAGGACTGTGTTTCTTGGGGGAGTTCGACTCCACCGTTTGCTAGACCAGACAAACATTGTGTAAAACATCCTCTATGGCAAAGCTGAAAACGAAGGGGAATTAAGGACAACCTTGTCGAACTCCACTGTAGGCGGCGAAGGGTGGCGAAAGCTAGCCATAGGCTTTAACCCGACCTGAGGTATGACAATACAACTGTTTGAGGATCGATACATACTTCTCATGTACTCCATTTGTTCAGCAAACAGTTCCACAGTGCGGTCCTATTGACAGAATTGAAGGCCGCGCGAACGTCTAAGAACATCATGATCGTTGGTCTGTGGTAAGCATGACGGCGCTCTAGCAACTGTCGGAGGGTGAAGATTTTATCGATGCATCTATAACCGACGGATAAGCGATACGGGCTGACTGATGTAATCAGATGGGGTTGGTTCTAACCTTTCAACTAGCGCGTTTTAAAACACGGTTAGACATGCCTGTTGAGACAATTTACCACAGTCCGGTGGTGCAGTCACTGGTGTGCTTTGGACCCTATAGTCCGGGGTTCGAGCCCCGCCACCGCCACTCAAATTCGGTGGTAGGAAGCTTTGTTGTCGTCCAGTTCACTACCAAGCCGAACCCAGAGGGGCCTTATGTGGGTAGCTACTCCAAGTTCCGGGGCTAAGGTTACCGATTTCCATGACTGAACA